TACTGTGTCCATAATTAAAATTTAATATCCTTAAATGGAGTTTATTATCTTTGAAAAGTCAGTCAGCTCGACTACCATTTGGATGGTTGTGTTGACTGATTCCACTTCTATAAATCAGTTAATATATTGCGTTGAAAATCCAATAAAATTATAGTAAATGATTGCTTGATATTAAGTCTGTGATTGGTGGGAATTAAAATAAGATTTTTATGAGATTTTAATAAAAATTGATAAATGTGTTGTTGAAAAGTTACGGATCTCATGAAATATGCGGTTCAAATTAAGTGTTGACTTTGACTTTAGAGCTTGTTTGAACCTCGTTTTCTTCAAAAAAAAAAAAAAAATACATTTCAACATTGTATATTGCCAAAAAAATTAAAGAAATCTACAACAACCCCTACTCTCACGAAAATGGAAAGGCCGATGTTCAACACTTTCTTCTTCCCCTACTCCCACACACACCGTTTGGACCCAACGATTGATCATCACCGGAACCCACAACGTTGACACCTCTTCCCAAAGATAGCCGTCACCACTCAGAGGCCGATGGGTAGAATATGAAAACAGAAAGTCCGATGTATAGAATACGAAGCCAACATTGGAGCAATTTGTGATACAATTAGATCAATTGAGGGTGTACCTATCATTGTTCGGCGTTGCCGAGGGATTGTGGGTTGAATTCTGGAAAAAGAGCTCCAATTTCGTCAATTGGAAGAGGCAGAATTGCCTTGGTTAGCGAGCAATTCACAACATAATACAGTCCAAAATTGGGTCAATTAGGGGCATCAATTGAAGCAATTGAGGACACACCAATGGTCGTATGATGCTGTTAATGATTCGTGTGTTGCTAATTATGTGATAAACTATCCCCAAACCTGTCAAATGAAAAAGACAGAATTGACTCGTTTTGCTACCAAACAAACCTCTATTAAACGAACCTATTTTTGGATAATGTCTCACCATGAATTGGAGCACTGGAGTGAGGCAAATCGTTTGGCAGCGATGCACGATCATGGGTGTCACCGGAGTTGATGAATTTTGTTATTTAACCTCACGACTCCCATGGCTTTTAGAATTGATTTTGATATCAATATGATGTTGTTTGTACATTTAATTGCCTGAGATGTGTTTGTGGAATGAGGTCTTCGACTAAGGGATGAAATTCTAGCGGATTGGGTGGCCAGCGATTGCTTGTGTTTTTTTTTTTTTTTAATCGTGGGGTGGGGTGGGGATTTTTATTTCCTATTTTTTTTATTTCTTAATTTATCTTAACTTATTTTTGGAATAATATGCAAAATTACCATTTTACCTTTTTTAATATGGTCAAAATTAATCAAATTTTGACATTTTTGTCAATTAGCTAATAGTCAAATTAACGGTTTCCATCCAATTGGGCATCTACTGCATATTTTTGAAAAGTTAGGGACCTTCGTTGACACAAATTGATAGTTAAGATCTTAAATTTATACAAATTGAAAAGGTTAGAGACCATTGCTGCAAGGATAATTAGCACATAACGTCGCACTTTTCATTGTTATTGTGAAAAACGTCACAAACTTTCATTTTTGGTATTTTCACTCTTATTTCCACCTTTTATTGCACAAAAGATCTTTTTTCATCCATTTTCTCAATTAAAATTTATGAAAAGACGAATATACCATTCTATTTAAATTTTTTAAAAAAAAAGAAAAAGAAAAAAATAATTCCAACCATTTTTAAAAAAAAAAGTGTAAATGAATCCCCAAATAAATTATTAAAAGAATACTTAGTACACAATGTTCATATATTTCACTATTATAGTGAAAAAGGTCCACACCTATTAGTTTTCTGATATTTTCACCCTTAATTACATTTTTAATTGCACAAATCATTATTCATATTCATTTTCATTTAATTTCTCAATAAAGAATTGTGAAATGATGAATGTACATTCCTATTAAAAAAAAATTAAAGAAAATTATTATTTTTAATTTTTTAATAATTTATATGAACTCTTTTACACTTTTTAATTTTTTAAATAAAATTAATTAGGACTCATTTGTACTTTTTTTAAAAAAAATTATTTCTAATTTTTAATATTTTATTTGGGACTCATTTGCACCTTTTTTTTTAAAAAAAAATTAATTTTCTAATAATTTATTCGGGGCCCGTTTGCACTTTTTTTTTTTTTTTTAAAAAAATCATTTTAATAATTTATTTTGGATTCGTTTGCAATTTTTAAGAAAATTTAAGACTATGATTGCAATTAGTTCTTTAGCTTTTTATTTAATGGAGGGTATATTCATTAGTTCACAACTATTTATTGAGAAATTGGATGAAAATGAATATAAATGATGATTTGCGCTATCAAATTTGTAATTAATGGTGAAAATGTAAAAAAAAAGGTAGAAACGTTTTTCGTAATAATAGTGAAAGGTAAGGACATTATGTACTAATTAACCTTTTAATAATTTATTTAAGACTTATTTGCGATTTTTAAAAAAATTTGGGATTATAGTTGCAATTAATTTTTTCTTTTATTTAAAGAGAATGATATATTTGTTGTTTCACAATTTTTAATTGAGAAAATAGATGAAAAACACCTTTTGCGCAATGAAATGTGAAAATAATTGTGAAAATGTCAAAAAATGAAAGGTAAATATGTTTTTTTATAATAGTTGTGAAATGTGAGGATATTGTGTGCTAATTATCCATGATGGAATTTTATTTATTTATTTATTTTTTTAAGGAAGAAAACAAAATATAACCTGGTAAGTTATACTATGTACACCCCAAAATACCAACAAATTATGTATACGACATCTGTCTCAGTCGGGAATAAATTCATTAGTATGTAAATCGCCAAAGTCAAGTATTGTCAACTTGAGTAATTCCTTCTTGAATAAGCATCTTTTATAATTCCACTTCACTTTCCATTCCAAGCTTGTATCGCTCAAGCAATCCACTGTCATCTGACCAACCCTCAAACCCCAGAAGCTATTTACAGCAAAAGAAAAGAAAACCCAGAAGTTCTATAACGTAATGGTTGGATTTTTCAGCGTTTTAGCTTGAAGAAGTAAGAATAATTGAAAAACCCCATTTCGGGTGAGTTTCCGTTCGTTTTATTCCGCTATTTATTGTAGTTGAGCTCCTTGTATGTGATTTCCGTTTATTTTTGGAGCATTAATTTCTAATCGAATTATATAGACTTGAAAATTTTAAGGTAAATTTGTTTTGACTTGGTTATTTTTAATTTATTTACTCAGGTGTATATGTGTTATGGGTACTCAAGAATTGTTGCGGCATGTGGGTATGCTGAATGGGGCTGCAATTACTTCATATGAAAATGGTTTCGAGCACGTGGGTAGTGAAAACGAGTTGGAGCGAGTGGATATTCAGGATTTGACTGACCTAATGGTTAAGGGAGACAGGATAGGGCGACTGAATAGTGATGAAAAGGCAAATTTAGTTGATGAGGTTTTGGAAAACTTGGAGGAGTATTGGGAAGATATGAGTAACCGGTTAATAATTTCACCGATGGTGAGTGACTCAGTTATAAAGGGGATGGTGAATGCCGTGGAACAAGAGGCGGCTGAGAAAATTGCAGCCAAAGACTTGGAAGTGGAAAAACTGAAGGAACGATTACGATCCTGCAATGTGTGTGTTGATAAATTTGAGCCTCTAGAGTCACCTGTATTTCCAAGCTATTTAGAAAATGGGAATCGTGAGAGGAGTTTGATGTTGTCAGATGCGTATGTGGACCCTGACAGAGTCAGGGAGTCTTTGTGCGGTTTAAGAAATGAGGCAAGAGAGCAGTTCAAGAAGGTTAAGATGGAGCTCGATGGTGTAAGAGGATGTAATAACATTAAAAGGATTGGTTCAGGTTCTCAGTTGGTAGGTTTGGGTGAAATTTTGCACGAGAAGGAATCAGAAAGCTGGCTGCGTGTGGATAGGACACTAGATCATTTAAACAAAGTGGTGGACACCATCTGCACGCAGGTGGATGATATGCTTCAGTCGTCTAAAAAATCAATTGTGGAGTGGCAGCAGGAGAGACATATACAAGGAGAAATTGAGGATATGGTGATGCAGAGTGTAATTAGGAGTCTTCAAGAGGAGTTTAAAGAGAAATTATGGGAACAAAATGCTCAATTTTGTGGCAGTCCCATCAAGAATTTGCTTGAAAAGTTTGAAGATATTTCTAGTTTACGCACCAAGTTAGATTCAATCCTGAACTCGCTCTCTCATCCTGAAACAGAGTTAGTTACTCATGGATCTCATGATATGGATCATATTCTTCATAAGGGCTTGAGCAACCATGTTACACAACCGGCAACTCTTTTGGAGGAAAATGGAAAATTGGAGGCATCTGAAACTGTCGTCACTGAGAATTTTGAGCATGCGCAGTTAAAGCACTTGACAACAGAAGAACTGGTGAATTATTTCAATGAGACCATAACAAAGATGAGGCGGGACCATGAGTCTGCTTTGCTACAAAGCACTGAAGAATATTTTACTCTAAGGCGGGAGTACCTTAACCTGAAGAGATCTTTTCTGTCCCATAGGAAAGATGAGGAATTTGATGTGTTGAGGAAAAAGATTCCTGAAATTATTTCAAAACTGGATGGTTTCCATTTAGAAACTGATAAATTTTCTGCATTAACCAATAATGCAGAGTGTCTGGTTAAATTGAAGGAAAGACTCAACACCGTTCTCTGCGAAAATCGTCAACTCAGAGATGCACTTACTGATAAGAAAAATGAAGTTAACTGTCTAGAATCACAGGTTTCTGATGCTGCAAGGAAAACGTTGCAGCATTATGCGGCTGAGGAAGACATGCTAAAGCTTCTAGGAAATCTTAATTCAGCAATGGAAGATATGCGTGTAGAAGCTTCCCTTACTGAAGAAGTCTATAAATGTGTTTTGAAGGAGCTGGATGGACTGATGAGACGTGACGCTGAAGAAACCAACATGGAGTTTCTTATTATGAGGGAAGTTTATGATATACTTCGCAGTGGAGCAGCTGTCCCTGCTGAAACTACAATCAAATATGAAATTGAAGATTCAGAAATTGAATCATTGATCACGCAAGGACTATGTGAACTCTTATTTAGGGAAGCCACAAGGGACAATGAGGGAAAAATCAATGGCCTGTATCGGAAATATTTAATTGAGAATGAAAAGAGAATCTCTCTAGAATCCAAATATCTTGAAAAGGAAAATGAGTTAAGGTTGAAGATTGAAGAAAAGGAAAGACTAAAGCAAGAGGTTCTCACGCTGGAAGAATCAATAGAAGAGAACAAGAAGTTTGCATCGGAGTTATCAGCTGCATTGGCAAAAGTGAGTGCACAGTTTGAGCTAGCTTCTCAAGAGCTAAATAAATTAAGAGAACTTGCAAGTCGGCAGAAAATGTCGGTTATGGAGAGTAGCAAGGAATTAGAGTTAGTAAAGAATCAGCTGAGAGAAGCGTTGGACCGAATTGAAGTAGATAATGTGAATATAAATATGTTGAATCAAAAGCTTGAACAGAGCACGAGGGAGTTGAAGGAAGCTAGTGAGAAAAGAAAATTGGCTGCTGATCTTGCCCAGGTTAGACATGAAACTCTAGAGAAGGAACTAATTAAGCAAATGAACCTGGTAACAAAAATGCTTGATGATTTTGGAAGCAGGATATCAGGAAGTATCAAAAAGAATAACTCAAGGTAATGCTTGAAATATGTTTACCCGATTTGTGGTTATATTAACTTGCTTTATGTTAGATTATTCTAATAGTGGCTATTTCTCTTTTTATTTCCTGGTGAAAGTGGAATGTTCTTTTGGTGCTTTTGTCTAGTGAAGTTATTTTACGAACGATGTTGAAAATTATGAGACATATTGAATATCTGTTATTAGTGGGCAATCTAGCCTTAACTAGTTGGATTTATGTTTATTGTACACACACACACACGCTTTGGATCTAGCAACGGACACTACGGAATGACGAAGAAGTGTTCATGTAGCCAACTTCAGATTTATTAGGAATAAATCTAGTTTTTTGTTGTTGTTTTGTTTGTATATATATTATTACACACACACTCTACAAGTTAAAACATTTCACACACAGTAGGTTTTGCCCATCATATATAATATGCTTTGCCTAAAAGACAAAATCTGCTGTTGAGATTGACTGTCTTCATTAGTTTGAGGATCCTAACATGCAACGCAAAATTTTCAGGTTGAAAGATGCACAATCCGAATTGAAATCTCTTACTGAGGTAGCTAATGTACTCAGAAGAACAGGCCAGATGTACAAACAGAGATTCGAGAGGAAATGTGTGGACCTTCAAATGGCCGAGGCTGAGGTAATTTGTTGGCACTTAGGATATGCTGTATTTGGATCTTATTTTTAAATTTTCTCTAAAGTATGGAAAGCCAGAACCTGTAAGGATTGAGAAATTGACTAACTAGTTTTGAGAATTATTATTCTGATGATATTAATTTTCTTCTTTTGTGTTTGCATATTGTGTGTGTGTGGGGTGGGGTGGGGGGTAATGGCTGTATAATTTTGTGTTATATATTAGCTAGGCATCTTATACTAGATTAAGTGCATGTATGGCTGAGATTGAAAAATTTACTTACAAGTAAATAAGTTTTAGTATAAATAATAATTTGTGAAAGTCAAATTTGTTGATGAGTAAGTTACTTGTTTGGAAGTATCTCCTACCTTATTGTCAAAATAAGTAACTTTTTTATGAGAAGAGAGTGACATGTCTAAACATGTTTGAAAACAAGAGTTTACTTAAAAGTAAGTTTTACTTACTTTAAGCTTAGCCAAATGTGTTCTTTTCTCGATCCATGCAAATGGAAGACAGGATAGCTAATAACTCATGAACACCATCTGCTGGAGAGGATTGGAGATTAAAAAAAAAAAAGAATCTTTCTGTTTTTGTGTCTATTGATCCATTTTGCCTGTTTTCGGTTCCACGACCTACTTGTTGATGTAACACAATCATTGTGTTTGAAATTTATCACATTTATTTTCCCTGGCTATTTTCTTCTAAATATTCAGCTAACTAATTTTGTATTTGAAGTACTTGTTATTTGTGTATGAGACAAATTTTGAATTAATATATCTGAGGGTTATAAAATTCCTCTGCTAATCACTATACATTTTCCTTGAAATTCAGGTCGATCTTTTGGGGGATGAGGTGGATGTTCTTTTAAATTTACTCAACAAGATATACGTTGCACTCGATCATTACTCTCCAGTTTTACAGCATTATCCTGGGGTAAGATCAATCTGAGTCATGTAGGAAATTGAAATTTTCATCATTCCTTATTTTTGTTTATTATATTTGTCGCTTACCATTTTATGGTAATTGTAAAGATTCTTCTACTATTCGGTTATCTCGTTATGCTACATTCTTAATAGTACAAATGCTCTAAAAGCTATTTTATTTTTCTAGAGGTACCTGATCAATTCCTATGTAAAATTGAGTAAAATAACTGAGACCTATGTTATGTTTTGTAACATTTTCCAAGTACCTCTACTTACTACTAGATTTAGATGTCGAGTCAATTTGAGTCAATTACATCCATGATTCAAGTGCTCTCCCCACTTGGGCATGCAGGTGGCAGCCGAGCGGGTGGGTTTCGTGGTATGCTTTGTGGTACCTAACAGTACTCAACGTACAATGGAATAGATTTTAGATTTTTTTTTTCCCTTTAATACTATCCAATCTGGTACAATTCACCATACCAGGCTCAGCCTTCAGGCTATTGTCTTGCATTAGCATGTTATGTATGGCCCACATGTTTTCTCTGAATGGAAGTTGAGAAGTATCTAATTAACCAGAGGTTTATTTGCTTCGTTGCAGATTATTGAGATCCTTAAGCTTGTTCGAAGAGAATTAACTGGAGAAGCCACAGAGACACATCGATGAACTCTGTGGTGAGGTAGTCCTCTATCATAGTAAATTTTGAACAAGACTACTTGTACACCCAAATGTGTACACTTTGGTTGACGGTGTCCAAAATCTAACCATTGATTGAAAAATGGGTTTTGAAAATCAGTGTACCCAAATTTGCGAACACACGGGAGTGTAAACCAATGTAAAACCAAGGTGTACATATAGCATGGCTTGTAAATTTTTGCTGCATTGCCCAATTATAAGTGGGTGTGAGAATTACTTGCCTTGATGTAGAATTATTTGTGTACTAGATTTTCTTTCCATGGAACACGACCGAGTACATCAACTTTTGGCGGTTGGTACCAGCAGAAGGGCCTTCCAATACTGATAATGCTGCTGAGGGGAATCGAGCATCTGCTGTAAACTAGAGCATTTTTCACTTGTACTTCCCAGATCAAAAAAGGAACAGTATGATCCATGGAGATATTTTTTTCATTGTATGTATAAATGTAAAATGAGAAAATCTGCTTCCTTTCTGTGTAACAGATGAAAATACTTGGCTTCTGCATTAATATTTGTTCTTATGGTCTTGATGAACTTGATAGGTTTATAAATTGCATGGTTGCTATCCTGTTTCATATTTCTTCAATTTTCATTTTAAAAAATTGTCGTGCTTGCTCGTGACAAGACAATATTGTCCGGGTTTCCTGACCCTTCCGAGCGCCTCAGAGTGCTTTTTACTCCCCACAGCTTCATCAGTGGGAAGGGTGCTTGGTTCGAGAGTTATTACGAGTTTGGCTGGGTGACAAGTCGTGCCTTGATAGTTTGTTTGATAAGATGTACTAAGCCCCTGATTGAGCCACATTCTCATTGTCATTTTTATTCTTCTACTTATTTTTAATCACACATTCTTCAATAAAATAATATTTTTCATCACATCAATAACTTTTCCTTCTTTTTCAACCACATATTCCCCATAACATTACTTAAAAAAAATGCATTCTTTCATTTTAATGTGCNAAAAAAAAAAAAACATTCTCTCCTAAAGAATGTGCATAAAACACACTCTAAATTATATTGAGCTCTTGTTGGGCTTCCATTATTTGAGATTAGCGTTTTAATTGTATGTTTGATAAAGTTGACCAGTATGTACTTCGCAGCACTAAAGAAAAAAGTTTACATTTCATCCATTTTTATGCGAGACTTGTATGGATGATCCAAATAAAACTAAGAGTTTGTCTGGACACAATTTTCTTCAAGATTTTGAGTGAATTTTTTACCGTTGGAAGCAAATCAAGTTGAAATCTTTGACCAAGCCTGAGAGAGTGGGACCCATGAGTTTATAAAAAAAGGGTAAAAAAATCACTAAAAATTTTGTAAAAAGCAACAGCAGAGGCACCCTAAGTCGTTGTTTGGTTTACATTTTAAATTTTTTCCCCTCGAATTCAATTTTTATCACACATTTTATGAGATCCGTAATTTTTAACTTTTCAATTATATATTTATTAAGTGGAAATTATACCCACACCTTTTAAGTTACCAATTAAAATTTAAAGATTTTTATCCAAAATTCAAGTGGTAATTCATTTCTAAATATTAATAATAATAATAAAATGAAATTAATCTTCCCATGCCACCACATCCACCTCAACCCAATTAAACTCTGAAACCCTAATTCATCTCCACACCTACTATTCCTATCTTCTTTCTCTACCAACCCCACACCTCTTTGCACCGGCATCGCTCCACTTCTAGCGGTGCCACGCGACTGTTGATTGTGTGCATCGTTGCGTGTGGGGGCTCGCTGCAAGAGCTCGGGGTTCCTCGCAGCCGCGGCCTCCAGTACTGAATATAGATCGAGTTTGTTATTTTTCTAATCCAATCTGCTGTTGGTGGTTTATGGATGATTTTTCTGGTCGATGGTTTTCTGATCGAATGGTGGTGGTAATGCAAGTGATGGCGATGGTTGTGGTGATTTAGGCAGCGAGGGTGCTGCAGTTGGTGGTGGTGGTTTCAAGGGTGGTCGTGAGTTGTGTTCTGTTAGTGTCACTAGTGGAGTGCGGCGGATTTTGAGTGATTGTCACTAGCTTGGAACTAATGATCTAAAAAAAGTGAGATTGTGACTAAATTTATAATTGTAACTTACAATTTATTAAGTTCTCGTTTGGTGTACATTTTTTAGTCAAAAATGCATTTTTGTTTTTGATGTGATAGGAAATATGTGATTGAAAAAGAAGAAAAAATTATTGATGTGATGAAAAATATTATTTTATGGGAAAATGTGTGGTTGAAAATGAGAATTGATTTCCTCTAGAAAAATTTAAATCCCTTTCANATGAAAAAATAATGTGGACCAAACAGGGGCTTGTGATCAAGTAATTTGACAATTTGTGATCGAGAAGTAATTTGTGACCAATTAATTTGATTAGTTAGGACTGTGAAATAAATTGTGACTTATAAAATCTGTAATTTGTGATCGAAAAATAACGCGTGTCCTATTAGTTTGATAATCAGTGATCTATAAAATTATAAATTTGTGACCGAAAAATAATACGTGACGTATTAATTTGAGAGTTTGACTAATAAAAAAATTGTAACCTGTAAAATTTGTGATCGAAAAATAATATGTAAATCATTAATTTGATAATTTATGATCAAGAAATAAGTTTCGATCTCTATAAAATTTGTGGTGTGTGAATATGAAGTTTATAATTGTGATTAGTACGTAATTGTGATAATAAATTGTATAATGCCGTGACCTTAATATATTTAATTAATTTGTGGGAAGAAAATAAATCTACCATATAATCCAAGTGGGCTACTCCACCCATTACCAATTGGTTTTGGGATGGAACCTCACTTGAGCCTGGTGGAATGGGCTTGAGTCTTGAGTAATTGCTCTCAATAATTTCCTAATAGTCCATCTTAAAAGGTCAACCTTTTTAAGAGGAGTAGCCCAAGATCTTTATTAATTGGTCTGTGTCAAAATCTTTATTCGATGTGGGATTATATCCCTTAACACGCCCCCGCAAGATGGTGGCTCATTTGAGCAGACCAATCTTGAAATTCACATGCTCACTTTTTGGAGTCTTACCGGGATCGAATCGCTCGTTGGAGCATAATGGGCTCTGATACCATATTAAGATTTGGGGGTCCATCTTAAAAGGTCAACCTTGTTAAGAGGAGTAGCCCAAGATCTTTATTAATTGGTCTGTGTCAACATCTTTATTCGATGTGGGATTATATCCCTTAACACTCTAAAAGCTATTTTATTTTATTTTTCTAGAGGTACCTGATCAATTCCTATGTAAAATTGAGTAAAATAACTGAGACCTATGTTATGTTTTGTAACATTTTCCAAGTACCTCTACTTACTACTAGATTTAGATGTCGAGTCAATTTGAGTCAATTACATCCATGATTCAAGTGCTCTCCCCACTTGGGCATGCAGGTGGCAGCCGAGCGGGTGGGTTTCGTGGTATGCTTTGTGGTACCTAACAGTACTCAACGTACAATGGAATAGATTTTAGATTTTTTTTTTCCCTTTAATACTATCCAATCTGGTACAATTCACCATACCAGGCTCAGCCTTCAGGCTATTGTCTTGCATTAGCATGTTATGTATGGCCCACATGTTTTCTCTGAATGGAAGTTGAGAAGTATCTAATTAACCAGAGGTTTATTTGCTTCATTGCAGATTATTGAGATCCTTAAGCTTGTTCGAAGAGAATTAACTGGAGAAGCCACAGAGACACATCGATGAACTCTGTGGTGAGGTAGTCCTCTATCATAGTAAATTTTGAACAAGACTACTTGTACACCCAAATGTGTACACTTTGGTTGACGGTGTCCAAAATCTAACCATTGATTGAAAAATGGGTTTTGAAAATCAGTGTACCCAAATTTGCGAACACACGGGAGTGTAAACCAATGTAAAACCAAGGTGTACATATAGCATGGCTTGTAAATTTTTGCTGCATTGCCCAATTATAAGTGGGTGTGAGAATTACTTGCCTTGATGTTGAATTATTTGTGTACTAGATTTTCTTTCCATGGAACACGACCGAGTACATCAACTTTTGGCGGTTGGTACCAGCAGAAGGGCCTTCCAATACTGATAATGCTGCTGAGGGGAATCGAGCATCTGCTGTAAACTAGAGCATTTTTTACTTGTACTTCCCAGATCAAAAAAGGAACAGTATGATCCATGGAGATTTTTTTTTTTCATTGTATGTATAAATGTAAAATGAGTAAATCTGCTTCCTTTCTGTGTAACAGATGAAAATACTTGGCTTCTGCATTAATATTTGTTCTTATGGTCTTGATGGTCTTGATAGGTTTATAAATTGCATGGTTGCTATCCTGTTTCATATTTCTTCAATTTTTATTTTAAAAAATTGTCGTGCTTGCTCGTGACAAGACAATAGTGTCCGGGTTTCCTGACCCTTCCGAGCGCCTCAGTGTGCTTTTTACTTCCCACAGCTTCATCAGTGGGAAGGGTGCTTGGTTCGAGAGTTATTACGAGTTTGGCTGGGTGACACGTCGTGCCTTGATAGTCTGTTTGATAAGATATACTAAGCCCCTGTTTGAGCCACATTCTCATTGTCATTTTTATTCTTCTACTCATTTTCAATCACACATTCTTCAATAAAATAATATTTTTCATCACATTAATAACTTTTTCTTCTTTTTTAACCACATATTCACCATTACTTCACAAAAAAAAAAAAAAAAAATACATTCTCTCCTAAAGAATGTGCATCAAACACACTCTAAATTATATTGAGCTCTTGTTGGGCCTCCATTATTTGAGAGTAGCGTTTTCATTGTATGTTTGATAAAGTTGACCAGTATGTACTTCGTAGCATTAAAGAAAAAAAGTTAACATTTCATCCATTTTTATGTGAGACATGTATGGATGATCCAAATAAAACTAAGAGCTTGTCTGGACACGATTTTCTTCAAGATTTTGAGTGAATTTTTTACCGTTGGAAGCAAATCAAGTCGAAATCTTTGACCAAGCCTGAGAGAGTGGGACCCATGAGTTTTAAAAAAAAGGGTAAAAAAATCACTAAAAATTTTGTAAAAAGTAGCAGCAGACGCACCCTAAGTCGTTGTTTAGTTTACATTTAAAATTTTTTCCCCTCAAATTCAATTTTTATCACACATTTTATGAGATTCATAATTTTTAACTTTTCAATTATATATTTATTAAGTGGAAATTATACCCACACTTTTTAAGTTCCCAATTAAAAATTAAAGTTTAAAGATTTTTATCCAAAATTCAGGTAGTAATTCATTTCTAAATATTAATAATAATAAAATAATAAAATGAAATTAATCTACCCATCCCACCACATCCACCTCAACCCAATTAAACTCTGAAACCCTAATTCATCTCCACACCTACTATTTTTATCTTCTTTCTCTACCAACCCCACACCTCTTTGCACCAGCATCGCTCCACTTCTAGCGGTGCCACACGACTGTTCATTATGTGCATCACTGCGTGTGGGGCCTCGCTGCGAGCGCTCAGGGTTCCTCGCAGCCGCGACCTCCAGTACTGAATATAGATCGAGTTTGATATTTTTCTAATCCGATCTGCTGTGGGTGGTTTATGGATGGTTTTTCTGGTTGATGGTTTTCTGATCAAATCTGCTGTTTAGCCAGAGTTTTGGGGTGGTTGTTAGTGTTTTGCAAATGGTGGTGGTAAATGGTAATGCAAGTGATGACGATGGTTGTGGTGGTTTAGGCGGCGAGGGTGTTGCAGTTGGTGGTGGTGGTTTCAGGGGTGGTGCCAGGGACGGACCTAGCCCGCCATCCCAACCCGGGCGGACGTTGATCGATCAATGTCGATCGGTCAACGCCGACCGGTCATCGTCGACAATCATAATAGAATTTATTTTATTGTCATCCAAAAATCTTCTAAACATCCTACGGTGTCTCTCTTTATATCTCAATTCCTCTAAATCCATATTTTGAGTATCACATCAAAATTTCATATCAATACAATTTATATCCCCAAAATCCAGAATTTAATTGAAAATTTACATACTAAAATATATCTTCAGCAATAACAACCACTTAAATTAACATAATAGAAACATTTTTCAAGCAAAAAATGAACAGTTAAGACATATTTNAACACACACACACCATGAGATTTGCTCAGAAGACATGCCGCTGCATCTCCTTCATTCAAAATGTATTTCGCTTTAATCAGCTCCACATCCAACTAAAAACCAAAACACAAGATCAGAAATAAGCACACACTACACATGGCGTTCCTTAAGTTCTGGTCGTCTCCCTCCCTCGCCCTCGGCTCCTCGTTCTCTGCCTGCCGGTTTCAATTCAGGGATTGAGAATGACGTATTGTATTTGATTTTGTGGGGATTGGACTTGGGAATGGACTTGGCATTTGGCAACTTGCAATTGCAATTTGCAAGCAAAACCCATGACCATGGATTGGGCTGACCTGGCTGCAGGCTGGGCCTTATTTAAAAAAAAAAAAAAAAAATCCCAAACGTTTACAAGTAAAAAAAACTGTCTTCTTCATTCCTTTCATCTTCTTCCCGACGGCGGATATCGATTCGGCACCTGAAGAAGTAGTCCTGGCGGACCCAGCACGGGCGACCGCGGGGGCTGGCTAAGTGCTGGGTCCGCCCCTGGGTGGTGGTGAGTGGTGTTCCGTTAGTGTCACTAGTGGAGTGCGGCGGATTTTGAGTGATTGTGACTAGCTTGTAACTAACTAATAAATAATATTTGATCTAAAAAAAGTGAGATTTGTGACTAAATTTGTAATTGTAACTTACAATTTATTAAGTTCCCGTTTGGTGCACATTTTTTAGCCAAAAATGCATTTTTGTTTTTGATGTGATAGGGAATATGTGGTTGAAAAAGAAGGAAAAATTATTGATGTGATGAAAAATATTATTTTATTGAAAAATGTGTGGTTGAGAATGAGTAAAAGAATGAGAATGAAAAAAATAATGTGGACCATGTTTGGTGCACATTTTTGGGAAAAAGAATGCATTTTTACTGATGATGTGATGGAGAATATGTGGTTGAAAAAGAAGGAAAAGTTATTGATGAGATGAAAAATATTATTTTATTGAAAAATGTGTGGTTGAGAATGAGTAAAAGAATGAGAATGAAAAAAATAATGTGGACCAAACAAGGGCTTGTGATCAAGTAATTTGACAATTTGTGATCGATAAGTAATTTGTGACCAATTAATTTGATTACTTAGGACCATGAAATAAATTGTGACTTATAAAATCTGTAATTTTTGATCGAAAAATAATGTGTGTCTTATTAGTTTGATAATCTGTGATCTATAAAATTATAAATTTGTGATTGAAAAATAATACGTGACCTATTAATTTGAGAGTTTGACTGATAAAAAAATTGTAACCTGTAAAATTTGTGATAGAGAAATAATACGTGATTCATTAATTTGATAATTTATGATCAAGAAATAAGTTTCGATCTCTATAAAATTTGTGGTGTGTGAATATGACGTTTATAATTGTGATTAGTACGTAATTGTGATAATAAATTGTATAATGTCGTGACCTTAATATATTTAATTAATGAGTAGTACGTAATTGTGATAATAAATTGTATAAGGCCGTGACCTTAATATATTTAATTAATATATCTTAATTAAGACATTTTTGTAACATAAAAATATTTTTTTTGAAAAAAATAATAATTGAAATTGTGTATTATAACCACCTTAATATGGATTTATTAACTTTTATCGAAATAGTTAAATTCAACGGGCCTAAAATTTTGAAAGGATCCATTACGCTGGATTGATCACTGAGCCCAATACTAATTGCGCAGAAATCTATTCTAACCCAGTATCATACATGGGTGTGCATCGTAATAAAGCATTTGCGTATAAAACCCTAAAAAAACATTTTATTCACTCTTTGCTGAATTATCTCACTGCAATTCTCTCTCTATATTTGGATTTCTGAGCAATAATCAACTTCTGAAATAGAAGAAAATATAAAATAACATGCCTCCGAAAGCAGCTAAATCAAAGGAAGCCCCAGCTGAAAGGCCGATTCTTGGTCGGTTTTCATCCCACCTTAAAATTGGAATTGTAAGTATTATTTTTATATTTGATGGTGTCCTATTTATATAGATTTTGTATTTTTTTTAATAGTTTATCATAGACATCATCTTGTTTTTGGTCGTTGTGTGAAATGTATCTAGTTGAGGCCAAGAAAATTATTTTTGGTTAAGTGAAGTAAAACATGTTTTTAACTGATAAATTTGGACTAGTATTTAATCATGTTTCAATTTTAAGCTTTTAACGGGTTTGTAGATTGTCATCTCTTTTATTTCTAGACTGTAAAATGATTTATTTGATTTCAATCTAAAATATATAAACAAAAAAGGGACCTTTTTTTTTAATCTTTGTATATTTTCTGAGGGAGAAACTTAATACTGTTCTCTTTAGGTAATTGATTTTAATTTTTGTTGGTGTTCAGGTTGGGTTGCCGAATGTGGGCAAATCAACTCTTTTCAACACCCTTACCAAGTTATCCATACCTGCTGAAAATTTCCCTTTTTGTACTATTGAGCCCAATGAGGCTCGAGTCAATATTCCTGACGAGCGATTTGATTGGCTTTGTCAACTGTTCAAGCCGAAGAGCGAGGTTAGTGACTGGAATTGAACATTCATTGCTCATTGAAAGAATTTTGCTTTGTGTTTTATCTACGGGATAACCACTGCATGGTGTCTTGCTTCATGTTTGAAAATCTCTGTGATAGCTTGTGCTACAATTTCCTATGTGAGTTGGCATTAAATTTCAATCTTTTGGATTGAAAAATTATTTTCTACCTTTCTGTTGGATAGGTGTCAGCTTTCTTAGAAATTCATGATATAGCTGGACTTGTTCGTGGTGCTCATGAAGGACAAGGATTGGGGAATAATTTCTTATCTCACATCCGCGCAGTTGATGGAATTTTTCATGTTTTACGTAAGCCAGTTGTATCTGTATTTTTTCTTTTCTTTAATAGATGTTCTTGATCAAAATTTGGTTGGGTGACTTAATATAATTTCATGATAATGTTATCGTTATTATTTTTTTATTTGTTTAGAGCGGCAGTTGTCACCTGTTTTGTAGTTCTTTCATCTAGCCCAAAATGACGCTCTCTACATCTTTATGCTTGCTTTTGCTTTCACTCTTTCATGTACAAGTTAAATGTAACCCATTCTTTGGTAGACGACTTTGCCCCCATTAAATTATTTCATCAACCACACATTCTCCAATAAAATAATATCACACGTAAATCCCAAAATTTTTGCTTTTTTTTTAACCACACATTTTCCAAAAAAATTACTATTCTTCTTATTATAATGTGAAATAATGGGGGCCAAATGGGCGCTTAACTTGTTTATGAACAGTTATAACCATGTACTCTGGGAGTTTCTCATTTCACGATTTTTAACAGAATCCTCTACATTAATTTTCTGAAAGTTCTCACTTTAACTAGTGATTACATGACGAAGTGTTACAGTCATGATGATTTTTATTGCTAATTTTCTTTGTAACATGTCTGGTGTCACTAGAATTCATACTCTTACTTTCTCATGTCGTTTAGGTGCATTTGAAGATCCTGATATTATCCATGTTGATGACTCTGTGGATCCTGTGAGGGATTTAGAGGTTATATCTGCAGAATTGCGGCTCAAGGTAAGTCAGATAAATTTGAGCTTCAAGATTTCCATTTTTCCCCCCATATTTTGGTAGTTAGCCTCTGTATTGTGCTAGGTAAAGCTTTTCAATGTTTGTTTCCTCTCCCGAACAAACCAAAAACTGAAATCTCAAAGATTTGAATTTTTTTAAGATGTTCTCTTCAATAGTTTTCAATGTATGCAACTCTTCGTTTTGATGTTTTTGATTGTTCTGATGTTCCATTTGACTGAAGGATATTGAATTCATTGGGAGGAAGATAGAGGATGTTGAGAAGAGCATGAAGAGGAGCAATGACAAGCAATTGAAAATAGAGCACGAGTTGTGTCTAAGGGTTTGTATTCCATATGTTATCTCAGTATTGGTTTTCTCATTCAGTAAGTTTATTATTCATCTTCTCTATAAGAATAACGCGAGTTAATTAATAGAGAGGATCAAATCTTCTCTGGGCTGTAATAGTTCTATGTGTTAATGAAACATGTAGTGCATATATGCATTCCTAGATGTTGACTTTACCTCAAGGCAAAGCATGGTGGCTTTCAACTTTATGTTTGGAATTTTATTTTTGATTAGAATACAAATTGTAACACCATTGACACACAAAACTATGTGATACCTTTGAATCAGGGAAAAATCAGTTAACTGGTTTGTCACTGGTGAAGTGTCAGGAGTGAGACTGCTGCTGAAATTCTGTTTAATATGTAAAGAAAATGATATCAATTATAAACATCTACAAGTAACAAATTTTGTAGTCGTTGAAGAGTGTTGGTTCTATTAATATGGTGCTAATTTGTGGACACCATGGCAGAAATTTTTGAAACCTCAACCTCATTACTTTTCTCTTGAGCATAACTAACTCCTTTTGCTATGTAGTTGTGATTTAACATGAATGTCTGCTTCATACTGGTTGGATATTAAGCCCCTGTTTGATGAAAATTATAATCTAGATTTTTGTCAAAGTCAATAATTAATGTAAACCAAATATTTCATGGAATCCACAACTTTTCAACTACACATTTCATTAATTTTTATCATAATCTGCTAAAAATCTTATTTTAATATCTACCAAACAGGGCTTAAGAATTATACTCTTTTCCATGCTTTCACTCAATTACTGTGAAATGGTAAAGAAATGCTAGCAGGTCGTACCCAAAAACGCATAGTACGGTAAATGAGATAAGTCTTCGATATTTAACCTTGGTTATTATTGGATTCATAAGGTGAAATCAGTGCTTGAGGAGGGAAAAGATATCCGTCTGGTGGATTGGAAAGCTGCTGATATTGAGATCCTGAATACTTTTCAGTTGCTTACTGCTAAACCAGTGGTCTACTTGGTGAGTGGCTGTAATTACTTGCGAAAGATGCCAGTTCGATTATTCCTTTCAAGACCTTTCTTTATTAGGATTGACTATGAATACACTCTGAGCCATATCCCCAATTGATAAAAAATAATATGAAGTAATCCAGAATTATCTGTCTGGTCTTGATGGAAATTCTCAGTAGCATACTGCACGCATGACCTTAAGTTCTGCCGTTCATGCAGTTCTAACTTTGAAAATGATTTAGGAAATTTTATGCCTTTATGTCTTGTCGTTTTAAGTGTATACACTATTGTATTTTTTTAATGGATTTTTGTGTGGTGGTGGGCAGGTTAACATGAACGAGAAAGATTATCAAAGAAAAAAGAACAAATTTCTTCCAAAGATTCATACTTGGTACATGCCATCTTACTCTTATATTTATTGTAGTCTGGTGCTTCTCACCAGCAATCACTGCTGGTGTGGCTGAGTAGAAAATTGTTGCCTAGTATATAGACGTATATCTCACTGTATATGGTTTTAGAGATAGTATTTTTGAAATTGTGTAATAGGTTTACATTGGAATATTCCTCGTACTCTTCCAATAACTTGATATCTATATGCAATTTATCATTCCTAATATCCTCTTCCCCCATTATTACTCTCTGTTGCAAAGGTTCAACGAATGGACTGCGATATTTAATTTCAGTTTCTATAGAAAACGTTGGAAGCTCTTCACCCGGAAGAATTTTTCTTTTCCTCTCACAATCTTATTCTCCCTCCATTGGAAGTTTCTAACACGCAAGCCATTTCTTTCAAAATTTTCTAGGGTGCAGGAGCATGGTGGCGAAACAATAATCCCTTTCAGCTGTGCTTTAGAGAGGAATCTTGCCGACATGCCTCCAGATGAAGCTGCCAAATATTGCGAGGAGAACAAAATACAAAGGTGGATCAGAGCGTGTTAATGAAGAAATTGCATAATTCCGAGTAACTCAGCTCACAAACATTTGTTTTGCTGCAGTGCCCTTCCAAAGATCATAAAGACTGGATTCTCAGCCATTAACCTCATATACTTCTTCACGGCAGGACCAGATGAGGTACTTTACGTACATAAATGTTTTGTCTTGCCATTGCTGTTGTTTACTTGTACACATTTCCGGCAAGTTTACTAAAATCAAATCATAACTTTTAGTTACCTATTCTGGGTCACTTGGTGAAAAGTTGAAGGCTTTGCTTATCCTTGCTTTGTGCTATTTCCTTTTCTTTAGATTGTGATGTTTGCCAATTATCATGTTCTTACATATACTATAAGTGACGTGTTTTCTGGTATTGCTAGAAGCAGTTCCTTTTTCTTTATGTCAATTCAGCTACCTGGACCATATTTCTAGTTTTTAATTTGATAGTTTCCTTCCCATTTTATATTATGTTCCAGTATACGATTGACAGTTACTAGCACTTCTATTATTCTGTGTGACAATGAATTTGGTTTCACACAGGTGAAGTGCTGGCAAATTCGTCGACTGACAAAAGCTCCTCAAGCTGCAGGGACAATTCATACTGATTTTGAAAGAGGGTTCATTTGTGCTGAGGTTTTTCTGAGAACTTCACTATTTAAGCATCAATATCATGACCTCATATATCTGTTTTGGTTTTGTCCTTTCTTTTCAATTCAGCATTAGTTCGGTGCAAATGGTCTGCACTAATTCTTCTAAGGTTATATGTGTTGCAAACAGTTTGTCTAACTCCATCTCCGTGTGCAAGCCTTTTCATACTCAATAGGAGTAGATTCTACTCTTGATCTTTTCTTAGTCAAACCTTTACGATGATGATTTTGTTTTTTTAAAACTATATTTAACGGTAGCCTTCCTTTTATGATACCATTATACTCCTCGTGTAGTTTTTAGACATGTTTTTGTATTTAGATGTGTCATCTCTCAGGTTTTATTGCTGAGGAATTGCAATTAATGTTGGAATCTACATTGGAAAAAATATTAATGCTATCCTGGTCCCTAGTGTTCCTGAATAGAGTTGGTTGTCTAAATATTGTCTCCTTGATTAAGAAGCTCTTTGTAGTAGAATGGATAGTTTTTTTGTAGTTAAAGATATCGTTATAACTGTTACACTAAAACACACTTACACCTTCAAACCTGTACTATTGTCTGACATTTAAATGCTAACAATTTGGGTTCTTTGATGGACATTTTAGGTCATGAAATTTGATGATTTAAAGGAGCTTGGCAGTGAGGCAGCTGTAAAGGTATTTCTTCAAATTTTCTATTGACAAAATATTCAATACATTATCAATTGAAAAACTTTGTTACAAATGCTCATCCCTCTGTAAATCTGTGATTACCATTTTTGATTCTATTATATGCTGATAAGGCTTTCCTGAAAATTGGTTACCTGCTTCTGGTATCTCTTTCCTTCATTCTAAATAACGAGATTATATTTATTTGAGATGATTGCATTTACACATAATAAAGCCCGTTATATGATAGTCCATCAAATATTTTGTTTTTGTGATTAGGCAAACTATTATATTGGAATAAAGTGTCGTATGTTGTTCGGACTTGAGTTTACATTTCAGGGAGGATGTATTAATAGTCCCATTTTGGGATCAGTTTAAAAGATCTCGACTTTTGGATGTGTTCCTGCTACTTGCTTTTATGCATAAATGAGACTCAAGTAAAGCTAAATTAAAAACAAAGAAGGGACGAAGGGAATAAAAAGCTAGAATGTGTATTAGTTCCATGCCACTTGATCTTCCACTGGAATGGTCTTCATATTTTGTTTCATATTCGGGTTTCCATTGTTGAAGAACAACACATGAACTTGTTTGCTGTATTGAATAGGCTGCTGGAAAGTACAAACAGGAAGGGAAGACATATGTTGTCCAAGATGGGGACATAATTTTCTTCAAATTTAACGTCTCCGGGGGTGGAAAGAAGTGAGTTATGCATCTTGGCCATTCTTCGACACATATTTTCTCATCGTAAGATTGGATGTGACTCGATCATTGCATTAAGAGATTTCTTGAAATTCTCTATGTTGTGAGGGTTGTACGTACTTTTTTCGGGGGTAAATTCTATTAGTGCAATGAATTTGAGTAATTATATATGCTCTTTGATCATCTTTCCTTTGTTGTTTTTCTTCGATGGTATGATTGGTAAGTTGGATTGTGGATGTCTCCCTTAGGTTTAACTTTCAAGGCTTAAATCATGTGGTGTTCGCCATTGAGAACCCTTTTCGCGGAAAGTAAGGACATTCATAATTAAGAGAAAGCATTAATCTCCACTAAGCAAAAAGTGAAACAGACAGGCACAAAACATCCTAAAAAATAATATCTGTAATATGTAGATACTAAACAAATTGTTCACAATGTCCACAATGAATGAGAACTTTTTAAAGACATGCCTTTGCTTTAGTGCATGCATTTAAAAATATGAAAAGCCAAAGATTCCTTTACAGTTGAAACACGGCTACCTGGTATGGTTTGCAATCAACGAGCAACTGAAATCAAGAAAATGCTCAGAATACTAGAGAAGAGTGCAATTGGTGGGACCCTTTTTTGGGTCCATGTACACCCTGATTGGACTCCATCCAAATGACCTAAATCATCCAATCTCAATCTTTACAGAAACAGAAGGCTGTGTACCTAACTGTTATCAAGGTGTAGGACCATCTGCCTTTATGCCAACCATTGCATTGTGACTCTGTGACCTTGAGCAAGAAAATGCATAATTTCCAAATCCTTCTCATTACTCCCTCACCTACTCCACCTCTATTGAATTGTTATTGTCCTTGGTAGAGATTTTTTTTTAAAATAATTGTGTGAAAATTGATTTTTTAAAATGTGTAGTTAAAAAGTATGAAAAAATTATGGATCCACGTGCAAAATTTATTTATTGAAAAATATATGATTGAATATGAATTTGAAGAAAATTTATATTTTAGAAAATAGGAGGTACACGTACATGCATAAAGTAAGAAGTAAATCCATCACCCTTAATTAGCGCGCGCGCGTGTGTCTGTTTTTTTTTTGTGAAAAATCACACCACTGTATTATTTATTTATTAATATGAGAAAAAATAAAATATAGAACTAGCTTATGAAAAAAGAGAAGTTAAAATATCTTAACCAAACAAGTGGGAATGAGGGGTTAAAAAAAAAAAAAAAAGTCCATACTTCGATGCTTCTTTATGCTCCTTGTTGTCACACTTCAATTTAGCCCTTATTTAAAAGGGTTAATCCATTTGTGTATTACGCCATTTCAGATAATGCGCGGGTCCGCGTGTATTTAAAAATTTTGATAATGTGATCCACATCCCTATTGTGAGTAGTATGTAAAAGATTCGATAAAAAAATTAAGTACATGCATGATCCTAATTTAAAATTATGAAATATGTGGTTGAAAGTTGATAAAAATTATGAATTTCATAAAATATGCTATTGAAAATTAATTTTAAAAAAATAAGGTTTAAAAAATGGTGACTGAACATGAGCTTATTGTTGAATAACGTTACTAAATAATAAAAAAATGTCTAATTTTTTTTTTAATTAAAATAAACTTCACTTCAAAGTCTTGACACCAATGCAAACTGAGTTTATGAAGTTGAATACAAAGATTACAAGGCAAATTGAGGGTTTGTTTGAGTCCTTTTTTTTTTTTAGGAAAATAGAATTTATAATATTAATTTTTATGAAAAATATGGTTAAAAAGTAGGTAAATATTTTGAATTTTTAGAAAATGTGTGGTTGAAAATGAGTTTGAGAAGTGACTCAATTGATTTCTATTATTTAGGACAGATATTGCGACTATGGTTAAATTAAGGACTAAATCGCCATTTCTTAAAATTTAGGACTAACCTGTCACTAGATTAATATATTGGGAGTCACTATTGCTATTTTCCCTATAAAGCCATAGTCAAAGGGCAGCGGTGGGACCCAGTTCGTACAGTCTCTCCCCCGTGCTGTTTCACTTAATTTTCTGGCACTTCAGCTTTATTCAATTTTTTTACTATTATTAACAGTCATCAGTTCCCATGGAGGACCCCAGACAATCTTAAACGCGATTTAATGAATCCATTTGACGTCCACTAGGACAAGATTCTCCTGCTTTTTGGCGGGTAGAGCTCGTCATTTACTGACAAATTACACTATTTCCCGCTATTTGTGTTTCATTGTCTTTTGCAGCAGCTTTTTTTCCAAAAGAAATTACTTTTAAGAAACAATTAATCTCAATATAATTGACAAAAGGTTTTCTTTTTTTCAAAGTCAATCTAAAATTGCCAAAGAATGAATCAAAACATAATTAAGGGTCTCCCGCATGTCTTTTTGGTGAGAGAAAGTGATAGTGTTATAAAGAGACAAAGGTATTATCTTTATTGAGTTTTATGCCTGTTTTCATATATTGAGGAAATAGTGGGGCTTTTGTGCTTTAATTGCCAGAATTTTATGATATTCTGGCACCTAATTTATTTGCCATTGAAGTTTAGAAAGGCCAAACCCCTTCTGCGCCATACATTTTCTTCATCTGTAGTCCATTTTCTATGCACAGATTTTGTGCATTGAAGTGTCTACAAAATAATTAAAGATTCGTCTTTGCAAGAGGGCTGCGTCGTTTGAATCTTCGAAAGGGACGGTTTTTACTAGGCCATTTTCTTGTCAAATGGTAAGAAAATGCTGACCTTTCCGACGGTTAGATCTCTGAAAATTACCCACTTTAGGCTGTTTGTTTAAGTGATTGATTGCTTTGACCAAGTCTGGGCAGCTATAAACCTTGTTCTAGTGAGGGTTATGGTGTACATTGTAATTCTTTTGGTAGAACCTTTTATTGCAATTGGAGTTCTGGATTACCCTTGTTTTTCTTGAGTGTAGTTCTGCTGTTTGACGGTTCTTCACTTCTTTGTCATTAAGGGACTGTTCTTTGAGCTGTTTGCTTTGTATTAGGTTTGATACCCTTTTCGGTATCTTTGCAGTTTGGATTTTGAATATTAACCAAGTTGGGTTTCATTTTTTGCCAATTTATGCTGTGTAACTTGGTGTATTATCATACTACTACGATTTCTGTATCAGAAGGATAAATATATATTTGGTTCTTGGCTTTGAGGTTATATCTTCAATACATGAAGCCATTACTTGGGGATAATATGAGGTTATTTAGGCTTGTTATGGTTGCCCTTTCTTTCATTTCCGCCCTCGGGCAGCTCCCTTCCCAGGATATTTTGGCGTTGCTTGAGTTCAAGAAAGGAATTAAGCATGACCCAACAGGTTTTGTTGTCGATTCGTGGAACGATGAATCCATTGACTTCAATGGCTGTCCTGCATCTTGGAATGGGATTATGTGTACTGGCGGTAACGTGGCAGCTGTTGTTCTTGACAACTTGGGTTTATCTGCGGATGTAGACTTGAGTGTGTTCTCTAATCTTACAATGCTAGTAAAATTCTCAATTTCGAACAACTCCATAACTGGGACATTGTCAAACAAGATTGGTGACTTCAAAAGTCTGGAGTATCTGGACATTTCTGACAATATGTTCTTCTCATCCTTGCCACCTGAAATTGGCAACTTGAGGAGCTTAAAAAATCTTTCATTAGCTGGGAACAACTTCTCTGGCTCGATCCCAGACACAGTTTCGAGGCTTGCCTCGATTCACTCTTTGGATATGAGCCGCAATTCACTTTCTGGTCCACTGCCATCATCTTTGACGAGATTGTCGGGTCTGGTATATCTTAATCTATCTGATAATGGGTTTACTAAAGGAATCCCAAAAGGGTTTGAGATGATGATACAGCTTGATGTGCTTGACTTGCATGACAATATGCTTGATGGGAATTTGGATCCAGAATTCTTGCAGCTCACTACTGCAATTCATGTTGATCTCAGTGGAAATTTTCTTGTGAGTTCTGCTAAAGAACAGAACATTTTACTCTCTGTTTCTGCCACCATCAATCATTTAAATCTTAGCCACAATCAGCTAACGGGATCACTTGTTAGTGGTGGCGAAGTTGGGGCTTTTGGGAACTTGAAGGTTCTGGATTTGAGCTACAATCAGCTATCTGGCGAATTACCTGGATTCAATTTTGTTTATGATCTTCAGGTCCTCAAACTCAGTAACAACAAATTTTCAGGGTTCATTCCTAATATTCTTTTGAAAGGAGACTCTTTGGTTTTAACCGAGTTGGATTTGAGCGGCAACAATCTCACGGGTAAATTTATCTTGAAATCTGGCTCTTCATTAAGCTTAAAACATTAAAATTTGAATACTTAGTTGAATGGTTTCTTTAAATCCATCTAACAATCACTTATTTTTCTTTCATGGTTGTGAAGTTTTTGCATTTTATCATGTGGGAAGATTTCTTGTCATTTCTTGCATGCAGATGTGTATGCATGGTATTAGTTACTGTCTTTCATACGATGCGCATTACTTTGCAGGGCCTATAAGTATGATAACATCAACAACATTGCAAGTTCTTAATCTCTCCTCAAATGTACTTTTTGGTGAACTTCCAATATTGACAGGAAGTTGTATTGTTATTGATCTTTCAAAAAATCAATTTGAGGGAAATTTAACCAGAATGCTGAAATGGGGTAACATTGAATTTCTTGATCTCAGCCAAAACCGCTTATCAGGCTACATTCCTGAGGTAACTGCTCAATTTCTGCGTTTAAACTTTCTCAACCTATCTCATAATTCGCTGAATGGTTCCCTTCCAAAAGTTGTCACTCTGTTTCCGAAACTCATGGTCCTTGATGTCAGTTTCAATCAATTGGAGGGACCTCTTCTAACTGCCCTTTTGACATCATCCACACTCCAAGAACTTCACCTACAGAATAATAAACTTACTGGAAATATTAATTTCTCACCTCGCATGGATGAATCAAATCTTCGTGCCCTTGATGTCTCTCATAATCAGCTCAGTGGCTATTTTCCTGATGGGTTTGGTTCATTGACTGAACTTCAAACACTCAACATTCGAGGAAATAATTTCTCAGGCTCTCTGCCCACTTCCTTGGGTGAGAACAGCACCCTAACTTCATTAGACATTTCCCAGAATCATTTTACTGGACCCCTGCCAAAAAACTTGCCTAATGGTCTCCAAAGCTTCAATGCATCATATAATGATCTTTCTGGGGTAGTTCCTGAAAATTTGAGGAAGTTTCCACTATCTTCATTTTACCCTGGCAATTCTGAATTGCAATTTCCAAATCCTCCCTCGGGCTCAAACCAGGGTCCATCTAGAAATCGCCATGGGAAACATAAGAAAACTATTATCACAGTGGTGATAATAGTTGCTTGTGTGATTTTTGTAGTCATTCTAATCCTTCTTACTATTTTCATTCTCTACAAACGCACATCTAAAAGGCCGTCACCACATGTTACTAACAAAGATGTCCAGCGTCAAACATCAACAAAACCTTCTAGCTTTGCTGGAAGAGACAGGGGAGGCAGTTTGGTTGTTTCAGCTGACGATCTTGTAACTGGGCGAAAGGGGTCATCATCAGAGATTATTAGTCCTGATGAGAAAATGGCTGCAACAACAGGTTTCTCACCATCAAAGACCAGCCATTTCTCTTGGTCACCGGAGTCAGGAGATTCATATGCTGCAGACAGCCTTTCAAGACTGGATGTTAGATCTCCAGATCGACTGGCTGGTGAGTTGTACTTTCTTGATGATACAATCTCATTTACAGCTGAGGAATTGTCAAGAGCACCAGCTGAAGTTCTGGGAAGGAGCAGCCATGGGACATCTTACCGGGCAACACTAAACAATGGTTTGTTCTTGACTGTAAAGTGGTTGAGGGAAGGGGTTGCAAAACCAAGAAAGGAATTTGCTAAAGAGGCCAAAAAATTTGCAAATATAAGACATCCAAACGTGGTTGGACTGAGAGGGTACTACTGGGGACCTACACAGCATGAGAAGCTCATTCTTTCAGAGTACATATCTCCTGGAAGTCTTGCAAGTTTTCTGTATGGTAAATCACTACACTCCATCTTCTAGCCTGCCATGTATTTGCTGCTAAAAGATATAACATCATAAAAGATATGCTTTGACTTCCATTATATTATGCCTGTTTATGTTTTTCTGATTTGTTCGTTCTTTTGTTTGTTTGTTTTTCTATTTTTATTTTTCTCCCCCTTCTTGCTCTATGAGAAAATGAAATGCTGCTTTCAATGACTTGTGGGTTTCCTGGCATGTCACGGCTTTTTGTTGCATCTGAATTCAAGCTGATTTAGATTATATTTCCACAAGTCGCTGAAGCTTTGCCCTTTTATTGAATTGAATACCCATTTATACTGTTGAAGACTCAGATATGGCTGTGGAAAGGCACTTGCGAAGTTATTACAGGAGAATAGAGGTTGTTGACTAATATGCTTGTATGATGGGATCATCAACTGTTAAACTGATTTGGTTTAGACTCGTTGGAATTCTTTTACAAATTAGAGCAATACTTCTATAAATTTCTTCTATAGACCATCCAACTTTCAATATTGTAATGTTTAAAAATGTAAAAATAGCCATAATGTTTGATGTATATGGTGTAATTTTCACGAAGTGATACTAGTATCCTTCTACATGATTTGGTGATTCTGCTTTTGACAACCACCATTATATATCATGACTTTTAGCATTAAGAATCAGTGTCAGCTTACCCTCCCAATGCTTTGAATTAATTCCTAGTTTGCCATGGTATGTGAGAATCTTCTTTGTCAAGTTTTATTTTGCTCCTGGTTGCTTTTGATGAATATTGAATATCGCTGCACTGATTTATATTGGAAGAAGAGAATTAATTCTTGTCTTTCCATATGCCGATTGTACCTTTTCAAGCGATGTATTATGTTTACTTTTCATATGCTTTTCTAACAACTAATATTTGCAGATCGGCCTGGAAGAAAGGGTCCACCCTTAACCTGGCCCCAAAGGCTCAAAATAGCAGTTGATATCGCTCGTGGCTTGAACTATCTCCATTTTGACCCTGCGGTCCCACATGGAAACCTTAAAGCAAGCAATGTACTACTAGATGGCCCTGATCTTAATGCACGCGTTGCTGATTACTGCCTTCACCGCCTCATGACGCAATCAGGCACCGTTGAACAGATTCTTGATGCTGGGGTGTTGGGTTATCGTGCACCAGAGTTAGCTGCATCAAAGAAGCCCCTCCCCTCCTTCAAATCAGATGTTTATGCTTTTGGAGTTATTCTGTTGGAACTTCTTACTGGAAAGTGTGCGGGTGATGTGATTTCTGGCGAAGATGGTGGAGTCGATTTGACAGATTGGGTTCGGTTAAGAGTGGCAGATGGTCGTGGATCGGATTGTTTTGATGCTGCACTGACACCTGAGATAGGAATTCCGGCATCTGAGAAGGGAATGAAGGAGGTCCTTGGAATAGCTCTACGATGTATCCGTTCCGTGTCTGAGAGGCCAGGCATCAAGACTATATACGAGGATCTATCGTCGATTTAGTTTGTTGATTTTGCTTTAGTGAACAAAGATTCAGTTGGGAATCAAATAGCTCATTGACTTCCCTTTTGTTAGTTAGATTCGAGACTCATGGCGACTCGATAATTTTTCTTTCTTTCTTCTGACTATGGCTGTAAAGTGGGGATGTCTTCATGCATACAAGCTTTTCTTCTTGTTAATGAGTTTTGTTCGCTACAAAATTGTCTGTTTAGTTTTTCAAGGTGTAGCCCAGAGAAATGGTTCAGAAGAAATTTTTTGATCAGTTTGATTAATGAATTATCTTGTCCAAATTCAATTCTACCCGCAATATAGATGTTTTTAAATTGATATTTTAGTAAAGAAGAAACACAGTATAGTAAGCGAATTTGCTTTCGCAAGGCATATTGAGAGAGAGAGGAATCTCAAGCTAGTAGAGTTTGTGAATCGACGTTTCTTGATTTTAATGCATTAGCGAGAGAGAGAGAGAGAGAGAGTAGAGTTTGTGAATCAACGTTTCTTGATTTTAATGCATTATTGTGCGATTCTTATAGAGATAATACATTTTAGGGTAATGTTACAAGTATATAATTATTTACATAATATATTACATAATTGACATGTGGCGCGCATCCATCGGTAGTCTACAATTTTTGACTTTTCCACACTTCACATCCACGGTCGGATTTCTTCCACATGAGCCTGTGTAATCCATTGTACAATATTATGTACATATAGATTTATCCTACGTTTTAATAAATAGGGCTAGTAATTTTTTGATTGAAAAAATCACTTTTCAACATCTAAATTTGTTATTAAGGACTCTGTTGCATTAAAATTGATAGATCGAGGACCATGCTCCTACACAAAGATTGAAGTCGCTTCAATATGTTATAATCAGTGTAAAGACGTTAAATGAAACAAGTCAAATAACTAGATTCGTCTATCTACTGACTTGATTCAATTCAATAAAAGTGTGACCGTGTCATATATATGACGAGTCGTTTATTAGTTAGCTCGCACATGAATGACGAACAAAGTAGCTCGTCTGGCTCGCACGATCAAATAGTTGCTGAACTTGCGTGGAAGCTCATAATGTACTGACTAATGAAAGTATTATCTAGAATATACATTTTAAAATATATAGTAATTTAAATTATATAATAAGCTGATGAATGGCTTTCTTCAGCCAATTTTTATTTAAGCTGTATTTAAGAAATCAGGAATATGTAACTTTACTTGCGATGTTAATTATAAGTTAAAACAAATGGTTACTTCCATGTTCTCAAGGCTAGAAAGTCTCCCTTTTGAGAAGGCAGCATTGGAATCAACGAGAAGCATTGGAACAGGCAAATTACTTATTATTGTATATACTGGCAAAAAAGCTCAAAACTCTAACAACGATGGCGTCTTACTGCCAAAGACTAAGAGACCTGCTGTCACTCTACAAGAGTAATCCCAAAATCACTAATTCTTTTCTCTCCAACTTTTCTTGGACTCGCAGGTTGTCTTCATCCAATTTCCCATCTCAGTTCGAAGTAAGTTTTTTTCTTTTAAAGTGGCTTTAATAGCTGTTTTTCTTGGAATTTTAGGGTTACTAATGCGACTTACAATTGAGCTATGGTTGAACAACTACTCTGTTTCTTGTTTCTGGTTCTTTTGTGAAGGTTTTGTTTAGGATATTAATTTCGTTCTGGGTTTTTGGGTAAATTATGTGGGCTTTTGTACTCATTCCAATTCATAGTGAAATTTTTGATATTATATTTTGATGTGTTGACATATTACAGAGGATTGGATTCGTTGGACTGGGAAACATGGGATCACGGATGTGTAATAATTTGATCCAGGCAGGATACAATGTCGCTGTCCATGACGTGTAATTTATTCAACTATTTTCTTTTTCTTTGAATTGGTTTTGTTAATGTTAAGAGATAAATCCCAGGGGGAATCCCATGTCTAAATAGTTAATACTTTATATTGAACTGTTTTCGATTTATTTATGATTTTTTTATGTGAATGAAAGGAAATAGAATTCTCGAAGGGGGAGAATAAAATAGACTGAATCAGTGAGGATAAATTGAATCTTTTCTCAAGAATTAATTAAGGCGGTTTATTTGAAGAATATAATAGTAGTGACAAAATCTGTGCTGGTTTTTTACAGCAACCAGGATGTCATGAAGATGTTCTCTGAGAAAGGAATTCTCACGAAAGAGTCACCTGTTGAAGTTGCCAAAGCAAGTGATGTTGTAATAACGATGTTGCCGTCATCATCCCATGTGAGCTTTAGATACATTTGGTCTAGTTATCACAATGTTTTATCAACAACATTAATTCATAAAATTGTACCCTGCTTATTATGTGAATTATTTCTTTGATTTTCTGATTTTATCGACCTCGCCTTGAGAAGTAATAAAGAGAAGTTCAGTTCGTGAGAAAAAGAGAAGGCATCAATAAAACTCTGTGATTGATTAAAAATCCTAATCCTATATGAGTTGACTTTAATTCTTTGTGGAGGGATGGCGAATAGATTTTTAAATAGTTTTCCAGATATTTGACATTTTTATTGCTTATTCCATTTTGAACTAAATGTAGGTAATTGATGTTTACACTGGACCAAATGGTTTGCTACATGGTGGAGATCAACTTAGACCGTGGTTGTTTGTTGATTCTTCTACCATTGATCCTCAAACGTCAAGAAAGATTTCTGTGGCCATTTCTGATTGTATTTTAAAGGGAAAAGAAGGTATCATGCCAAGGAAAATATGAAGTATCATGTTTTGATTACGTTTACCTCACTTTATTTCCACTGGCCATTTCATCACTGATCTTTTCTAATTTAGCTTCTTTTTGCCGTGGGTTAACATTTTTGAATTGTAGGATTATCTATCTGGTTTTAAACGATGATGCCTGTAGAGCGGACCCTCTGGGTTCTCATTGTCTCTAGGGATATTGTTTATGTTTCGTCTGCTACTTTAGTATTAAACAAAGATGTTCAGGTAACATAATGGTCATCCAATTCATTTTGTAGTTCCCTGGCCTTATAAATCCTGCAGACTCCTTATGATGGAAGCATCTTTGAACTGATTGATCATCTCTGTATCATTCGTTCACGAGACAGCTTATTTGACAACCAACTATGATGTCTGTTAATATTAACTTTGCATATTATTGTTCAATTACTTGAAAATGCAGATAACTTTTAACCTTTCTATCACATTATCCCACCCAATCCTCTTCCTTGTATTGAAAATTTCTTCCAAATGTATCAAGGAAACTCACCTATCTCAGATAAAATATATTGGTATGAAGCCAACGTTCCACACATCTGTAAGCTTATGTGCCCATATTTACTTTCTATAAAGTTACTTTTTCTACTCTGGTCAGGATAATGTATGGACCATGTTCTATAGTAGTTAGGCAATGCTTATGTAACATAAAGCTGATAAAAAATGTGAACTGGTTACGTATTCTATAGATGGCTAGGAGGCTCCTGCCATGTTGTATGTTGGACAACTACAAGTTAGTTATCAATGAGCTGGTTACATTTTCTATAGATGGCTGGGAGACTCCTGCCATGTTGGATGCCCCTGTATCTGGAGGTGTTCTTGCTGCAGAGACTGGATCGCTTACTTTCATGGTATGGTTGTAGTGCATTTGAAGTGTTAGTGATGTAATTGTGATTCCAGTATTGGAACTACTTTTATGCTATTTCAGTACATGGAAGTGAAGAACTATGCATTTCCTTGTTAAAAATTCCACCTGTTTTCTTTCTGAGCCCTGAAGTTTGCTTCAAATATATTGAATTACTATTGCCTTGTGCTTAAAAACTGGTGAAAATTAAGTTTATTAGGGCTTCTAAGTGTAAAATTTCTCATTTGGTTTGTAACTTTTCCCCTTAAACGTTTTTCGAACATCTTTAAGTTATCGGTGCTGCAATTGCTGTGGATTTTTGCCTTCAAAATATCTCATGTGATTAGGATGCAATAGAGGCCCTGATTGATAATGCACAACTGATTAGTTCATAAAACGGCATAAGTTCTAGGTGAAAGTAGTTTCTAGCTGCAAAGGTTTGCTTTTGGGAGGCTCTGAATTGAAGCAATATATTACATGTTATTCAGGTTGGTGGCTCAGAGAAAGCTTATACGGCTGCAAAGCCTTTGTTCCTTTCAATGGGCAAAAACACCATTTATTGTGGAGGAGCAGGAACTGGTTCGGTATGTTCTTGCTCGTTATAGGCATTTATTCTTGTGGATTTTACTGCACAATTCTAAAATAGCTCTGGGAACTTCATTTTACATAATATTGAGGAGTAGCATGCCACAGTTGTCCTTTAGCTATTAATGTCCTCATTAGTTAATTTAATATGCTTTTTGATAAACTGTGATGCACATGATATCTGAATGCAAGAAAATTGTAACAATGAAAGTAACAAGACATAGCTAACACAGGTGGGTGCAGACATAGTCTTGATAAAATGTAAGTTTAAGTAAATACCTTAAGTCACCTTTCCGTAATGTCTTTATCTTATATGCTGCTGTTACCTAGCGTACTTTCTAAGAGCAAAGGCATTAGCTTTTCACAACTGATAAATAGGCATATTTAAATTTTCAGGTTTAGAAAGACATGGAAACAGGACAAATTTATAAGTGATTTACTTCACAATATATTTCATCTACCTTTTGCTACCTTTAAATCCATTCCAGAGCATTCAATATATTTTGCTGGCAGAACACAAAACCTCTCCTGCCCATGTGGAATCAGTATCTAACAATACTGTTGGCTAGGAATTCTTAAATTGTTTTGTTTTTCGAATTTAGACAGCAAAGATTTGCAACAATTTGGCAATGGCTGTCAGTATGCTTGGGGTGTCAGAAGCCTATGCACTTGGTCAGTCTTTGGGAATCGCTGCAAGTACTTTAACAAAGATATTTAACTCTTCAAGTGCTCGCTGTTGGAGTAGGTACCTCGTAATTTAGTATCCTACTGGCCTAAATGTTTAAATGATACTGGCTTTGTTCTAAAATTCACCCGACATTGATTATGATCCATATTATCTAGTAAATGTTGCTTCTTTGAGTTTTTACTTGTGCTGTAGTCATTTTGAAGCCTCCAAAGTTCTGTAACTGAAAAAATGATGTCAAGATTTGATAACAACGTACATAAGTTTGAATTGATTAACTTGACTGGCTACTGTAGGATATATATGAATTGACACCTCTGGCAAGGAAAAATAGGAGATTTTCCTATATGCATGCATGTTGGTTCTCCAATTAGCATTTTCTGCATGACAATAACAAACTTTTTTGATGGGCTAGAAAATATCATTTACTTAAATATCATACAGATCGTTATCCCTGTCTTTGTTTGGCATTGCATTTTCTTTATCCCCAACAAATTTTACTGTCAGATCTGTCACACACAAAAATGATGTGAAATTTAGTGTTCTGGTTGGCGCGCGAACTGTTTCGGCAGAAATTTAGACAGGTATTCTGCAAGGTTTTTACCAATACTAATGTCAATACATCGTTTGTTACGCGACAGCGATTCTTATAATCCAGTGCCTGGAGTGATGGATGGAGTACCAGCTTCAAGGAATTATGATGGTGGGTTTGCTTCCAAGCTAATGGTATGTGGTTCTTCTATGCACTCGAAAGCTACATCATTGCTACATAGCTGACAAAATATTTGACATGTTCAAGTGATTATGGTCCATTGAGTCACAGCTTACTCTGATGGTAGTCTTCATCATTCATTACCTTATCATGGTTCAAGGTTCATCCAAATCAATCTGTATGCCATTTATATATGAAGAAGACTTGAGATGTTGAGGTCAAGGATTTTAATGTCCTTTAGATTAGACTTTTCGATGCTTTAAAAAGTAATTGTGATGTTAAATTTGGTTCTCTCACAGTCTCATGCTCTCGCCTTACAAATTAATTATCTAGGCTTAGACAACTTTTCTGTGATACTGTGTTTGCTTGAGTCGTGTAAACAAGTGCTTAGTTTACAGAATATCATATCATCAATTTTTCTAATATTCGTTCATCATTACAATGTTCAGCTGTTTTCTCTTTGAATTTAGGCTAAAGATCTAAACCTTGCGGCTGCATCAGCCAAAGAAGTCTGTCTCAAATTTCCTTTAGCGTCTGTAGCAGAAGAGATGTAAGTCCTGGTCCTTTATATTTTACTTCGGAAAACATTAGGCTTAAATGCACGAGGTTATATAATCATCACTTCATGGGTCCATTATTTACTGTATTAAGTCCCCATTTGGATCTTGGATTTAATGCAGGAAAAACGTGAAGGAAACAAAATGAAAAGTAATATGAAAATTATCACCCTTAACTGTGTATATAAACAATTTCCACCTATTTTCCTTTGCACTGAAGTACAATGTGAGGGTTCTTCAGAGTTTTACTCGCTGCATCGAAGATTTAGGGTCTTTGCTAACATCTGCAAAGATCATTATGAATGGCCCAAGTCTTGATAGTCAGCCTAGTGCAAATTTATTTGCGGCATGAAACATTAGGCCCGCGCTGTATTCTGTCACAACCACATTAATTCCTTGTGTTTATTGACATGAACTAAACTTCTGTTCAGATTCACAGAGCTCAACGATGCAGGTTATGGAACAAAGGACTTCTCTTGTGTTTTCCGGCATTACTACTCCGGCAAGGATGAGCTGTAATTTATTTGGAATTGCAATTTGATGGTAGATTGGTGTTTAAATCTGGAGATTTTACTGTTGTGATGCTTTGGAATTTGTTTAAGATTTACAATGGCAAAACTGAAAACCATTTTCTACAGCCATTGCACATATCTATCCCATTCGAAGCTATTTATGCCTACTCGATTGTCCCTCTTTTTTCTTTTTTTTCATGCATTAGTTGCGTCAAAATTCGTCTCGCAATTTTCTGGATGTCATATTCTATCCTTTATAAGTTTTTAGGTGATTATTTTGGCAGTATGCATCTACGAACCACCGAAAAAAGTAACCAAAAAGTGTTTTTAAGAAATCCAAACATGCTCTATTCAAGATAGCTAAGTACAACTCATTAGAATTTGACAAAAATAAAAATCCAACACTAACATCTACACGTCACAGACATTCATCATTAACATGAATGACAAAATACAAGTGTTACAAGCCCATCTCAATACAACGAACCACAAAAGCCACAAATCATACCATACATATTAACTATGTAATCTATTTAATCCATTGATGACAAATACACCCATAATCCACTGAAAAGATACTAACAGCCCAAGAGGTTAGGATAACTGATAGAAACTATTCAAGACACCTTAAGATGCAACATCCTCTTCTTCTTCTTCTTCTTCCTCGTATTCTTCATCGTCAGCAGTAGCGTCCTGGTATTGCTGGTACTCGGCCACAAGATCATTCATGTTACTCTCTGCCTCAGTGAATTCCATTTCGTCCATTCCCTCACCAGTGTACCAATGCAAGAAAGCTTTACGCCTGAACATTGCAGTGAATTGCTCACTAACGCGCCTGAACATCTCCTGAATTGAGGTCGAGTTTCCAATGAATGTAGATGCCATTTTCAGACCCTTTGGTGGGATATCGCATACACTAGACTTTACATTGTTCGGAATCCACTCGACAAAGTAGGACGAATTCTTGTTCTGGATGTTAATCATCTGTTCATCGACCTCTTTGGTGCTCATCTTACCGCGGAACATGGCTGAAGCAGTTAAGTAGCGACCATGACGTGGGTCAGCAGCGCACATCATGTTCTTCGCATCCCACATCTGTTGGGTCAGTTCAGGGACCGTAAGAGCCCGGTACTGCTGGGAGCCTCTGGCTGTTAAGGGTGCAAACCCAACCATGAAGAAGTGTAACCGTGGGAATGGAATAAGGTTAACTGCAAGTTTCCGGAGGTCAGAGTTGAGTTGTCCAGGGAACCGTAGACAGCAGGTGACACCACTCATGGTAGCAGAAATCAGGTGGTTGAGATCGCCAACTGAAACACAACACCCAAAATTTAAGTTTTTATTTGATACATCTGATCAATGATATCCCCATTATATGATTAATTATCCAGCTATTTGAGTTTCAATGAGAAAGGATAAAGCACGAAGCAGAAAACAAAACGGAGAACTGGACTTACAAGTAGGAGTCGAAAGCTTGAGAGTACGGAAGCAAATATCATATAGAGCCTCATTATCCAGAACCATACACTCATCTGCATTCTCAACAAGTTGATGAACAGACAGGGTAGCATTGTATGGCTCGACAACAGTGTCAGATACCTTTGGCGAAGGAAAGACTGAGAATGTCATCATCATGCGGTCTGGATACTCCTCCCTGATCTTGGAAATGAGAAGGGTGCCCATACCAGAACCAGTTCCTCCACCCAACGAATGACAGACTTGAAATCCTGTAGTACAAATGAAATAGAATCAGCATATTATAGTAGCCGAACCTGCATATGCATCTATATCTATCTTATTCACGCATAACAAGGGTGTTATAAATTAGTTATATGCCTATGTGAACCTGATGCAGCGAAAATATTGCAGAAGATTATTAACATTCCAAACGCCCATTAATTCAATTGAATACCCGAGGATTTGGCCATCAAATATGCATTGATTCACTAACAATACTGAATAATTGAAAGAATTGAGAAATTCTCAAATTTTTATTAATAAACAACCAATTATAATGAACCCTAATTCTAGCTTTAAAGGAAAACAAGAAACTCTAATTTACTATTCTAAGCAAAGACAATCTAGGAAACTAATCTAAACAAATACCCAAATAATCCAAACAAGGAAATAAATAAATCAATTTCCTCCTTGATAATAAAAGTTCCAATTTGACAGCATAAGCGATAGAATTTGACTATAAAACTGGTTGGCTCTTTTCTGTCAGGAAAAGTGATATTATTCATCAAATTTCGACAGGAGTTGATGCATTTGTACACAAGCACAGCATAACACTCGAAGCATTAAGGAAATTTAGATTAATGTTTTAAACTACGGTTCTCAAATGGGTCGATCAAATAAAATAATCAGTTTATCCGACGAGAAGAATTCAGAATGTTAAAATTGCAATAGTGGTGGTGAATGATACAGAAATGTATAGAATTGCAATTCAGAAGAGCTATGAAGCATGAACACTCCTATCTACAGAGCTGTACTTTTTTACAAATGACATGACATGTCTGTGTCCGTGTTTCTCAGTGATGACCTGTTCCCACAAACACAAACTGCACAATACTTTTAGCACAGTATGATTGAGAACTCGTAATTATGCATATAATTCAGTCGCGGAAAAAGACGCAATCTTCAAAGGAAAAGTATAACTTGTAGCAGATTAATTATAATGTTCGATCTGACCGAATCCGACAACAAAAACATCATATTAACCAACAACAAATGAAAATAGCGAAAAAGACCTTGCAAGCAATCGCAATTCTCGGCCTCTTTACGGACAACATCGAGCACGGAATCAATCAACTCAGCGCCCTCCGTATAATGCCCCTTAGCCCAGTTGTTTCCAGCGCCGGACTGTCCGAAAACGAAATTGTCCGGCCTGAAAATCTGTCCAAACGGGCCGGATCTGACCGAATCCATAGTACCCGGCTCAAGATCCATTAAAACAGCGCGTGGTACGTACCTCCCTCCGCTGGCCTCATTGTAATAAACATTAATTCGCTCGAGCTGGAGTTCGGAGTCGCCGCTGTATTTTCCGGAGTGGTCAATTCCATGCTCATCGCATATGACCTCCCAGAACTTGGCGCCGATCTGGTTGCCACATTGGCCTCCCTGAATGTGAAGGATTTCTCTCATTTTTTGTGCGTGTTTGGTGTTTTTGAGAAATTAAGGAAGATTTGTGTTGTTCAAGGTTTAGAATGTTTTTTGTTGCAACTGTCCTCGTCGGAAGGGAGTGCAGGAGCGGAAACGGAGGGAGGTTGGGGGAAAATTGCGGTTACATCACTTATATGACAGGAAATCGCGTGGTATTCACTCAGATTCGCAGGATGTGGCTGTTTTTCTTTTTTTTTTTTTTTCTTTTTTTCCCATTCGTGCTCAATTTTTTAAAATTTATTTTCAAAGACATATTTTTTTTTTATTCCCGTTAAATTATAATTCATTTTTTTCTTTCTCATCAACAACGCATTTTTCATTAAATATTATACCAAAATTTTTTAAAAAAATTCTCCTTTTTTGATCTTACATTCTCCAAAAAATATTATTCATCTTATTATAATATGAAATAATGAAGCCAAATGAGTTATTAATGTTCTACTTAAATTTAAATTATTTTTACTTTCTAACCAAGTGCTTGTTTGACAACGGTTTTGATAGAAAAAAGAGTTCTGAATAGCGATTTTTTGGAGAATGTGTGGTTAAAATGTAGAAAAAAATTTGGTATACGAGTAGAATATTTTATTGTGTGAATGTGTGGTTGAAAATGATCATATAACAAATTATAAAATAAATTAAAGAGTGTCAAATAGAGTACTAAACGTTCTCCACAAAAATCACTTCTAACAAAATCTATTTTAAAAAGTGAAGCTTAAAAGGGGCTAAATGTTTATCTATTCAAGGAAAAAAATGTTTAAAGGTCGACTCAGACCTTGATTCAATAAAGGTAAAAGATAGAATTCTCTTGAAGATGCCGAAGCAATGTCGACTTCAAACTCATCTTTGATTGAAAAATTATGCTCTTCGAGTAACATAGGGCTTGCATTGTGAACTCAATTGCTCAAAGTGATCTACTTATTTATGATATCAGATGCGTGTAGCTATGTTTAAAAGGGTAAGATGTAACTCGTGTGACTTTATTGATTATTCATATAAATAGGAAAGAATTGACTCATTCTATTGCCTCTTGGTCTCTTACAGAACACATTAGTTCGATTAAAGTTAGATCGATTATATATTTTATTATTTTTTCAGATGTTTGCTTTGATTTGGTATAATTGAAACACTACTTATTTTTGAAAAGAAAAATATGGAGAAAATCGAAGTGTCGAAAAAAAATATATATTTGAAAAATAAAAACAATTATCACTTTACGCATTTTAGAACATTGCTTCTGAGTGGTATGGCCAATCTAATTCATATCACTTTCAAAGACTCATCAAATTTGGCCACATACTCTTTATTAAGAGATAGCCACACTTCGGCAAGTGTTTTCTACCGCTGTGCTGCATGATTTTTGCATAGTGGCTTAGTTCCTCTTGTACCAGATATTTAAACTCTATCTACATCTATCATCAAACGAAATTTTATAGAAACAAAAGAATAGGTAAAAGTCCATACATCTACAAATCGATGTGCAAGAATAAAGATTTTTAACTTCGTCACTAATGATACCTCGAAGGTAAAGATTTGCATGTTGATATAACCAAGTGACAATAAACCAATACATCGACGTGTACCATTTTCGTAGAATTACGATGTCTCGAAGTATCACTCATTGACGTATTAGTTTTCCTAATTAGAGGAATTGACCATGCAAAAAACCCCCCAACAAAGTGATTTCGCGGTGATAAAATTAAATGGACCACAAATCAATCTATTAAACACAATATTTTCAGCATTGTATCGTGCATGTAACCTACAAAATTAGTGGGCCTTATTTCGATATTCAAAGAAACGTAAAATGCAACGTCCACATCAACTCATGAATGCTAATACTCTAACCAA